TCATTGGTAGTAAATATTATGGTGTCAAAGTTCAGTAGAGACGTCGTTAAAAGTTTGCTGATGACGACAGTAACAGTTCGGTAGTGGCGATGATACAAATTCAGATGTGACGACGATAACAACCATCATGTGACGACGATGAAAGTGTCAGGCAATAAACACCTTATATGGTAAACATTTACCCTTAACCAATACCAGCGACTGTGACAAGTCTCAGGCAATAAACACCTTATATGGTAAACATTTACCCTTAAACAATACCAGCGACTGTGACAAGTCCCGGTAAATTGCGATCGCTACAGGGGTTGATGTTTTTGTACGGCCGGTCTATTTCTAAGTTCTTCTTATTTTTACTGGCCACCCGCTGTTAAGGTCGACTTTAAGAAGTACAAACAACAATCTACACACAGTTTGGACCACAGTATTAGTGCGGGCCTACACCCGTAATATATTCGCCTAGCCCTCTGTCCAAATCAACCCATCAACTCTCGTTCACACACCTAGTAAACTGAATACCAACATTTGGTCTAAGGGGAATAACACAACAACGTGGGGCTGAACACAACTCACATGCTCACCATAAACAATGACTTACCTAGCCTTAACCCGACGCGTAACAATAACAGTATTCACGTCCACCCCTGAAATAACAATACACGTGAATAAAACATGCCCACTCCCTCCCCTACCCAGCAACAGAAAATAATAGAACTGCATGTCAATCATACCAAACATAAGAACATCACAGACCTATTCTCTAGCTGTAAAATGTGCACGTCCAACATACACACTATCTGCTACATCTGTCATGATAAACTGGACACACCTTTATAAACACAAGTCAGCACTGACTATTATCAATACCGTTTTTTACTATGTATGTTTGCCTTCAAATTAAACTGTTAGCCGTTCATATAGTACAAATAATATCACGTTTAAAAACAAATACACGTCTTTTCGCACGATTTGTATTTACAAGTTCTAGCTATATTGGTCTAGCCCCACCTACTTCAGAACTGAATTAATCATTACGCGCTTTTAGAAAGCATGTATTTGTGATACAAAGATTTTAACAATAATCAAATATACATAGAATTTAGCGTATATGAGATAACGCATTATTTTTAAGAAAGAAAGCTAAGTTAAACATATTTAATAAAATACTTAAAAAAAAAACTTTTTAAAAAACCACGTTTTTCTTGTGGACTAAAAAGTAGAAAATAACTATTTACATACATTTGATGACAAAAAACGTGGGTACGTTCACCATCAAATTTCCCGACCCATCTGCCCGACCCACGTTTTTTGTCATCAAATGTATGTAAATAGTTATTTTCTACTTTTTAGTCCACAAGAAAAACGTGGTTTTTTAAAAAGTTTTTTTTTAAGTATTTTATTTTCTCCTTTTTAGTCCGTTGCTACACATGAAAAACGTGGTTTTTAAAAAAGTGTTTATAAATACACGGACTAAAAAAATCTTGAGCGACCAGGATTCGAACCTGGGTTGTCGCGGCCACAACGCGAAGTACTAACCACTATACGATCACGGCCAGCGCGCTCACATCGATTGGGGCCGAAGTAACTGTGTCTATAGGCCTCCAGTCTTGTCGGTATCTTTAGAAATCATGTCCTCAATTTTATGGTCCTTGGGGCGTAATTAAATTAAGCTAATTACGGTCTCTAATTGCTAGTTTTTATGATTGCATCTGAAATTGTTAGGCGAAAGTAACCTGCATGCCAAATTTCAGAACTATAGAACAATCAGAAGTGGGCTAATTTTCGATGTCAATTTTAACAACAAACACATCCACGCGAAGCTGAGTTAATAAATAATAAAATACTTAAAAAAAACTTTTTAAAAAACCACGTTTTTCTTGTGGACTAAAAAGTAGAAAATAACTATTTACATACATTTGATGACAAAAAACGTGGGTACGTTCACCATCAAATTTCCCGACCCATCTGCCCGACCCACGTTTTTTGTCATCAAATGTATGTAAATAGTTATTTTCTACTTTTTAGTCCACAAGAAAAACGTGGTTTTTTAAAAAGTTTTTTTTAAGTATTTTATTTTCTCCTTTTTAGTCCGTTGCTACACATGAAAAACGTGGTTTTTAAAAAAGTTTTTTATATAGTTTATTTTCTACTTTATCTAATGACTTGATTAAGTATGAATTGACTAAGTGTTTATAAATACACGGACTAAAAAAATCTTGAGCGACCAGGATTCGAACCTGGGTTGTCGCGGCCACAACGCGAAGTACTAACCACTATACGATCACGGCCAGCGCGCTCACATCGATTGGGGCCGAAGTAACTGTGTCTATAAGCCTCCAGTCTTGTCGGTATCTTTAGAAATCATGTCCTCAATTTTATGGTCCTTGGGGCGTAATTAAATTAAGCTAATTACCGTCTCTAATTGCTAGTTTTTATGATTGCATCTGAAATTGTTAGGCGAAAGTAGCCTACATGCCAAATTTCAGATCTATTGAGCAATCAGAAGTGGGTTAATTTTCGATGTCAATTTTAACAACAAACACACGCGAAGCTGAGTTAATAAAAACGTGTTAAAATACTTAAAAAAAACTTTTTAAAAAACCACGTTTTTCTTGTGGACTAAAAAGTAGAAAATAACTATTTACATACATTTGATGACAAAAAACGTGGGTACGTTCACCATCAAATTTCCCGACCCATCTGCCCGACCCACGTTTTTTGTCATCAAATGTATGTAAATAGTTATTTTCTACTTTTTAGTCCACAAGAAAAACGTGGTTTTTTTAAAAGTTTTTTTTAAGTATTTTATTTTCTCCTTTTTAGTCCGTTGCTACACATGAAAAACGTGGTTTTTAAAAAAGTGTTTATAAATACACGGACTAAAAATCTTGAGCGACCAGGATTCGAACCTGGGTTGTCGCGGCCACAACGCGAAGTACTAACCACTATACGATCACGGCCAGCGCGCTCACATCGATTGGGGCCGAAGTAACTGTGTCAATAGGCCTAAAGTCTTGTCGGTATCTTTAGAAATCATGTCCTCAATTTTATGGTCCTTGGGGCGTAATTAAATTAAGCTAATTACGGTCACTAATTGCTAGTTTTTATGATTGCATCTGAAATTGTTAGGCGAAAGTAGCATGCATGCCAAATTTCAGGTTTCTAGAGCAATCAGAAGTGGGCTAATTTTCGATGTCAATTTTAACAACAAACATCCAAACAAACAAACGCGAAGCTGAGTTAAGAAAAACGTTTTAATAAACGCGAAGCTGAGTTAAGGAAAAACGTGTTTATGTGTATTTTAGCATGCCCAGCGTACCAACCGTGTCACCGTTAACAATGTGTTACCGTGTCCGTTCTCCTTTTTAGTCCGTTGCTACACATAAAAAACGTGGTTTTTTAAAAAGTTTTTTTTAAGTATTTTATTTTCTCCTTTTTAGTCCGTTGCTACACATGAAAAACGTGGTTTTTAAAAAAGTGTTTATAAATACACGGACTAAAAAAATCATGAGCGACCAGGATTCGAACCTGGGTTGTCGCGGCCACAACGCGAAGTACTAACCACTATACGATCACGGCCAGCGCGCTCACATCGATTGGGGCCGAAGTAACTGTGTCAATAGGCCTCAAGTCTTGTCGGTATCTTTAGAAATCATGTCCTCAATTTTATGGTCCTTGGGGCGTAATTAAATTAAGCTAATTACGGTCTCTAATTGCTAGTTTTTATGATTGCATCTGAAATTGTTAGGCGAAAGTAACCTGCATGCCAAATTTCAGAACTATAGAACAATCAGAAGTGGGCTAATTTTCGATGTCAATTTTAACAACAAACACATCCACGCGAAGCTGAGTTAATAAAAACGTGTTAAAAAAACATCTTTTAAGATATATAGCTGCTAAGAAAGTGTACAATATTTAAATATATTTAATTGATTTAAAACTATCTTGTGTAGGTCTACGTAAGTGTAATAACTCCGATAAATGATGCTTACTTATGAAGTAAAAAAAACTATTTTCTTTCAAAAGTTAACAAAATATGGGGCCCACATCCCAAACCGCAAATATAATTATAAACATTATGCTTTGCCATAGATCGCAGTAATAGAAAATAATTGACAAAGCATTGTTTAGGTAAAGGTAACTCAAATGCTTTTTATGCAGGGGAAACAATCAAATATCAGTACATTAATTTAAGAAACACAACAAAAATAAATAATAGAAATAAAATAAAATATACCTTTTTTTTAAAACAAAAGATAAAATAAAAATTAAAAAAAATATTCCTTGAAACAATGATGTAAAATGACATTATCTATAAACATGTCCTCTAATATTGGATCTAACTCTAAATGTAAAACTTTTGTCAGATTTCAGTACTTAATGCTAAATATAGAGCGATTTATCATTTGATATCTGATGCAAATTAATGGCTACTTTTTCCATATTAAATATTAATGGTTTTTAATTTACACCAAAAATAAATTACAAACTGCCACCACTCATTGGCTAGGCGCGCTGAAAGTCAATTCTACAACACTGAGACGAAAAAAAAAAAAGAAGAAAAAATTACAAACTAAACAAGTGTATAACGAAAAAAAGAAAACACTTTTGTATGGACAGACTGGCGGCCTTAAACCCCGACCCCAACCCCCACAAAATTCAAAAACTTCTTCATAACCGAATGTTCACCCCATGCGGATCATCTCAACGACAGAATCGTTGAGCCTCTCTCCGACTGTGTCGCTGAGAATAAAACCCTTTGGTGGTTTCTCAGTCAACACTGTCGTTGAAAATAAAACAATAATTAAACATGCTCTCCACAATTAGGAAAGCATAAACTGTAGGTGTTTTGAAGCTAATATTCCAGCCATTTTGTTTTGACGAGAGCTAGTCCAGATCTAGACTAGATCTACTTGATCAACGATTTACACTGATGTAAAACCTACGTAAATCAAATCTACAAGATCAGGATTTAGATCTAGAAATCTACATTATTGACTAGAGAGAAAAAGTTAAAAGTATGCCTAGTGCGTCGAAAGTAAATGATAGAATCTAGATCTAGAAAATCTAGTAATTTTTCAGTAGCACTAGATCTAGTCTAGAGATTGACTAGATAGAAAGATAATTATTTCTGTGGCATAGCTGTCCTTTAGCATTTAGGATCTAGAATCTAGATCTACTCAATTTTAAATCTCTTCTATTTCAAATTGTTTGTAGATCTATATCTACAAGATTAGGCTTAGGTCTAAAAATATACTAAAGTTAAAGCTACAGTAGGCTACACAAGTACACATCATTCCTAAACTTAATGCCATTAATGGCTAAAATTCACTGAGCATTGTTGCACTTAAGACTTAAACGTAAGGCCTAAATACTAAATAAAATTATTACGTTAGCTTAATTTTCATGACAGCTTTTCTCTTCTTTTTTGCCATGCTTAATTTTAATAATTTAAGTCACTTTCATGTGCTGGTAGCTTAAAATAAAACTTGTTTAGGAAGTTTATTTCTTTCTCCCTTTCATAATGCTGCAAATATGAGTAAGACGCTTATTATTATAATTAAATAGCTGCGATAAATAATCATTTGCATCTTTTTGGGGGTATTTCTTTTACATGAACTGTGAAATACGGTATCTCAAATTTTGCGCGTAACTCAAAGCGAAATATTACTCGCTCAACTGCTCGTATTTAAAAAATCTGGTATGTCGAGGCACTAGAATGTTGAGGTACTACAGGATCTACTATGTATTGAAAGAAAACATAAATTAATTATAGAATAATAGGCAAATATAGTAATAAAGTAGGCCTTATAGCTTTAGATTTTATTCAGCCTACTAATAAATAATTAAATAGGCCTAAAGCAGTACTAGATATTAGTTAAATCACTAGTATTGTGTAGGGTTATTTTTATTAAAAAAACAGATCACATCTTATACATTAAGGCGGGCTCAATAAAATAAAAATAATTTATTTAGGACCTAGGCCTATCTTTTGGAGATCTAAAATTCTAAATGAAAAATAAATTATTAATTAGACCAACAATAGGCATAGTATGCTAAATCTATTTTAGTATTTAAATTTAAGGCTCGGCCATCTACTAAAATTTTTATAAATGTCATAAAATGGCCTACTTAATTATAATTACTAATTACTATTAGGCCTAAGTTTAAACTAGAGATAGCCTATTTTATTAGTAGAAAAAGTATTAGTCATAGTTAAGATGGTATAGCCTTATGTAAATTAATGTAATCAGTGTTAGATATTATGATATCGATCAAGCAATTATTATATAATATCGAAAAGGGGCCTAGCACTCTCTTAGTCATTAGTCTATTAGGTCTTACAAGTAGTTTAGCCTATTTATATATTATAGGGCCTATAGGCTGTTATTTAAATTAGGCCAAAGGCTTATTAGGAAAAGGCTTAATAGGCTTTAGTTTTTAATTAGGCAACAAGGCAGAGGCTTAATGTTGCTTATAGATTTAATTTGAAATTATTATGATATACGCTACTCTGCGACTATCACTATAGACTGCTATAGAGTATATTATAGCCTAGGCCTATCTAAATAAAATAATTCAACTCACTTAGCTTACTATAATTTTTAAAAATGTTTAGTTAAGTATTCAGCTCTCTATGTCAGCTAAGGCCCATAATTGTAATTATCCTAATGTTAGATCTATTAATTATTTAATAATTAGTAGGCCTAATTATAGGAATTAGGTCTGATACATTAAGTCCTATAGAGTAATACTATTGGGCTAGTAATTATATACAATATCTATACAAGCCTACTTATCGTTAATTTGGAAGTCTTTGCATTGACCTTAGTTTTCAGATGTAGCAGCCTAATTTTTATCAGATTATACCATAAAATCAAAAGTAGACTTGTAGATCTTTTTAAAACAAGGCATGAAATATTAATTTAAATAATATAAATTAAACAAATAGCCTAAATAACAACTACACAAAGTTAAAGTCATAATAACTTTTTATAAAGGTATCTTGAATTTCAACTGGAGGTAGTTTTGATAAATATTAGTATTCTGAACATTAAAATAGGTAGACTTAACATACATTTGTTCTGAAAACATATTTAGAAATTGGTTTTAAAAAATGAGGTTAGGATTGGGGTGATAACTAGTTGAGGATTAGATATGATATTCATTGTGTTTATCCATGTTGTAATTTCTCTTTTACAGGTTCATCCAAATAAAAGGGAAGATCTGATTTTTACCAGTAATAAGACTACAGCATACTAAATGACACAAGATGTTCTTTCTCAATTACCTCTTACATTTAACATAAAAGTAGGAAAAGGTATGACAATTATTAATAAGCTGCTTTAAATTTTATAATTTGTTTTTTTATAACTTAATTGTACCATTTTTATTTCCAATAATGATAAATATAATTTAGTGTCATTTATATTTTAAAATATTTATATTATACTAGATATAATTTACTTCTATAATATTACTATCCAGGTTTAACAGTCTATGCCTACAACATAGATCTCCAGGACTAAAAGTACACAAAATGGCAATCAGTATATCACAAGTGTAATAACACATGCATCTAATCTGCTTCAGTGGCGAGAACTGGGTGAATCCTCTCAAACATTAATCAGGTAAGTTATCACAAGTTTGCTTTGATTTATTTTGAACATGTTGATTGAGATAGATTTTTATTTGTATAAATATTGTATTTAAAAAAATATTTTACCTAGTAAAACCAAGTCAGTGGTGATAATTGATACAATATCATTATGTATTTTTTCAAATATTTGTTTTGCAAAATATGCTGATTTGCAGGAAGGATATATATATATATATATATATATATATATATATATATATATATATATATATATATATATATATATATATATATATATATATATATATATATATATATATATATATATATATAAAACAGTATCATTTAGTGGTTTGTCTTACAAATTTGAATTATTTACTTAATCTGTCTTAACTGCTCAACAGGAACTAGGCATACCTAATGAGCGTCAAGCTGATACAGTAGATGTACAGAAGAGTTTATACACAAGGTAAATATTGATAAATTTTAAGTTTTCTTTTTTTAAGGATACATGTAGTGTTTTGGGAGAAAGGAATTAAATTATTTAAATTAGGCCTAATAGTTTATTTCTCTAGCTTATGTTTCACTCAAAATAACTTAAATTTTTCCCCCTTTATCACTAAAGCAAAATTTTATAGATATCTATGCCATGATTCATCTCATTCAATCACTTTTTTCTTGTTTTGTTTTGATGTATTAAACTAATTTAAACTAAAGATTTTTTTTTTTTGCTAATTTTATTATTTCAGATGGATGATTAAGAAAATCATTTTGTTTTGTTTCAGGAAGTGAAAAGTGATGTAAAAGGCAACTAATACTTCCATCTACCATAGTTAAACAAGAATCTGCAAATGGTGATAATTGCAATAATCTTGATATATTAATGTTTGGCTTTATAATTATATGCAATTGTTTCATAAATAAATTATTTCTCAAAATTTGATGTATTTGGTTTTCTTACTTAGTACATAAGATGCAAGTGATTGAAAGCTGAAAAGGGTTGTATGTAGTTATAGTATTCCCAGCACAAGTTGACATTAAAACAGCTGAAGCCCTTTAAAAAAAAAAAAAAATAAATAAAATAATCTAGGAATGCTGTTTCTATTAGCTGAGCATATATTTGGAAAAGAACTTAATTGTTTACCAGAGAATACTGTGACCCAGTTTGTACTCCAGGCAAAAAGTGTCTATGGTTAATATTATTAAGTTAAAGAAAAGTATCAAACAAACAGGATAATATTAATAAGCAAGACCTCCACACTAGAGAAGTATGGAATGAGTATTGCATGGAATTCAAATCAACTTTGATGTTGCTAATTGCTACACTGGCCATAATTGGCCTACATTGATTTTTGCTGAGGTAGGCAACTGTTTTTGTTTAACTTTAGATGTCGACTAAATAAAGAAGAAAACTGACACGCCAATACCAAAATCAAGAACTTGTAAAGTTCGTGGTTGCTAAACCGAGAAGTCCTGAGTTCAATCTCCCGTGTAGATGAGGCTCTATAGTTGGGGATAGCAACCTATCTTGGGGATACAACACTTGTTCTTGGATTGACAAAAGATAAGAAAAGAAATCCAGAAAGAAAAGCAGCTGAACGAAGAAGAAAAAGGCTGGATATATTCGGTATCAACTGTACAATTTTAACAGACACACATTTCAAACTACACATGCATTTCAATGACAAAGTTCAGTGAAGCCATAATGTTGAGTTTGACTGAATGAAGAACGATATTGTTATTTCAAGCAAAGTTAAAGTTTATTGTCTTAAAGACATTGTCGTGGATTGATTTAGACTAAGACTTCCCTGTTAAATAAGCCGACAACGATGGCTCTTTTTATTTCTCGTCTTTGATGTTGCTTTCAAGAACTTGTATGAGATTAGATTACCTACATACATAAGGCTACGCAGTTTGGAATCTTGGCTTTCTAATAGTGGACCTGGCTACATGACATTACCCCCACCCCGTCAATTACCCCCCCCGGAGGAGACCCCCCCTCCCGTATTTACCCCCCGGGGCAATTACCCCTTGTCAATAACCCCCCTGGAGAATCCCCCCCCCCCCCCGGCCTCAAGTTATGATCCTAACTCAAACTCTATACCTATGTATTTCCTTAATCCTAATCGATAAAAAAATGACCAAACCCTAAGCATTCACCTCAGCCTAAAACTTAACACATAACCAAAACCAACTCTAGACTTAGGTTTCAGCCTAACCTTGACCATAACACTAACCCTAGCCTTAATCCTAACCCTGACCATAACACTAACTCTAATTCTGAATCTAACCCTAGCCCTAACCTTAGCCCTAACGCTAACCCTAACCTTAGCCCGAACGCTAACCCTAACTCTAGCCCTAACTCTAACCCTAGCCCTAACTCTAACCCTAACCATAACCCTAACCTTAGCACAAACGCTAACCCTAGCCCTAACGCTAACCCTAATCCTAACCCTAGCCGTAACCCTAACCATAATCTTAACCTTAGCCAGAACGCTAACCCTAACTCTAACTCTAACCCTAGCCCTAACGCTAACCCAAACCCTAACCCTAGCCGTAACCCTAACCATAACCCTAACCCCAGCTGTACCTTAAGAGGTGTGTGCGTGGGGGGGGGGGGAGATGTCCTCCTTGGCGGGGGGTAAATGACAGGGGGTAATTGCTTCAGGGGGGGGAGAGAACTAATAATCTGTAAGTCCTACTATTCAATACATTTGGTTAACACAATGTCGTCACACATGTAAAACAAAATAAGCAGTGTTTTTATTATTTGTATCCTTAAAAAATGCAAAATAAATGCTACGCCATTAACTCAACCCTCTTTTTTCTCGTTACATATCGTCACATAAAGCCACCGCCCAAAATGATGGTGACGTCAATATACAATCATAAAGTGGTCACCCATTAACCACGACTCGCTCTTCAGACGATTTTGCACCAAACCCCCCTTCTCTAATTGTAACAAATTTTCACAAAAAGCCAGATCTTCGCTTCCCCCCCCCCCCCACCACTCTCTTTAAAAACACTACACCTCTACACATAACCCCCTCCGCCGTTCCCCTGAAACTGCATTTTTACTTTCTCGTATATACGAAGTATAGAGAAAGTCTTGTAATCAGAGTTTCTTCCAGGCATCTCTTGGGGGGGGGGCGAAGCCCCCCCCGAAAATTTTTTACCGCCCCCCCGAACGAAATGAAATTTATATAATTTATATAGAAAATATATACTTTTAACACTGTCCGCCCCCCCCGAAGAAAGTTTACCGCCCCCCCCCCCCGAAGATTTCAAGTGCCCCCCCGGAGAAAAAAGTCTTGAAGAAACACTGCTTGTAATCGTGCAAAAAAAAAAAAATCGAGATTTTTTTACAAATCTCGATGTTTTACACCTCACTGATACGGAAAAACATAATTTTGCAATCTTGTCCGTATGTCTGTGTCTGTGTGTGTCTGTGTGTAAACACGATTAATTGAGTACCGTTACAGCTAGGTTGATGAAATTTCATATATAAGTATTTTATCAAAATCATAGATCCGTATAAACTTTTGAGTGATTTCCGATAACGGAAAGTGGTACTTTTTCTACTTTGAATTTTTCAAAAGCCTATAACTTGAGTACTATTGCAGATAGATAAATGAAATTTCACATGTAAGTAAAAGATCTAATTCTATACCTTCTGTCAAATTTTGAGTAATTTCCGTTGACAGGAAGTACTAATTTACGCTATTTCCGATTTCTCAAAAAACGCACGTAAATTTATAAAGTACTAATAATGTTGCGCACTATTATGCACATCTTTATTTGACGTTCACTTGGTGTGCAATTCTTTTTTCTACGAGGTTTTATTCTATTTTAAAAAGTTTAAGTATTTAAAATGGATTAAAAATCATGTCTATATCCCGAGTTGCCATTCCCCGTAGTGTTATATTAGAATATTCGAGAAAGTTTAGGGGAGATCACTCCCGGTTTATTATAATATGTACTGACCTCGATAAACATTGAGTTAATAAATGAATTAATACCAAAAGCAATCTTTTAAAGCCCGAAATAACGGATGAAAGCAAAAATGTGTCGTCACACTTTCCGATCATCCCTTCCCATAAATGAAAAAAAAAGCCTGAACATACTAAAGGAGAGTATGGATGTTGATGGAGGATCCCAACATTAAAAATTAAAGCAGCGCAAAATTTCAGGAATCCATGTTACATATTATTATTTTCCGTTGGTATAACAAAGGTATTTACATTGTGTTTTATATTTTACGAGCCGCTATCATACGCCGCTATTTAGTTGTTTCATTTTCTACTTTTCAGTAATTCATAATTTGTGAATTTGACAGTAACAATGCTGCCACTGAAAATATTTGCTTTAAAACACTATCAGTAGCTCGTTAAGGACGATAACCCCCCCTCCCCACCCTCCTTTCCCAAAAATCCTACCCCCCCTCCTCGTGAAAGCAGCCCCCTCTGAGTTACCTCCACTAAGTTTAAAATCGTTTCAAACTAAATTATCTGCCCCTAATAGCTGTCACTAAACCCGGCTCTACGATTGTAAACATTTAGCTTGAACCACAGCTCACCAGACCATGTAGGGATGGGGGTGGTAGGGATAGAGAGAAAGAGAGGGGGCTGCTAGGGGCGCTTACAGCTTGGTGTTTTCTATGGTATCCATGAAGAGAATTATTTATATAGAAGAAATATATATTAAACCAGCGTACCCGTCCCGCGCGTTGCTGCGGTCTCAGAAGACAGACTGACGCAATATTTTAAGAGGATTCCATAATTACATTAGCAATCACGTATTTTTTTACGCTTGACATTGATTTCTAAATCTAAACAATTTAAATGTAATCAAAGCCGGTGTTATATTGCTTTCATCATAGTTGTTGAGGCGCAAATTCTACCGCACACAGTAGCCCATTGTATCCATAATGTATCGCACTCTTTAAAACGAACGTAGGCGCAATAGTGTTTATGAGGGACCCACACAGGGGCGCTAGACCACACGCCAGGGGTGCAGTAGACAAACAATTTCCCTACTGTAGGGCGCTCTTTTAAAACTCATAGTGTTCCTCCCGAAGCCAGTGGCGCATCGGGTCAAACGAATTGTCATCGAATGTCGTGTGCCACAGGGTCAATATTGTAGAGTGCTCTTTAACACAACCTTAGGATATCTCAGAGAGCCAAATCGCATCCTGCCGGGGCGCCGGCAGACGCGCCTGATTCCATATAGTCAAAAATTATTGTTGCCCATCGTGTCTTTAGTGTATAAATTTAAAAAAAAAACGAACGTAGGCGTCATAGTGTTCACATGGTAGCACGGGGCGCTTTGGGTTACGTAATATCCGGGGCGCCGGCGGCTGCGCCTGTTGTTGCTTTTTTACCTTAGCCCCCATGCAGTTTTAATATCGCCGTCCTGGATTTTCAGGCGCCAAGCCGTTTATTAACAAAAATCGCACCCTCCAAGGAAACGCCCATAATAAATTTTAATTTTTGTTTTCGCAGAAACCTTCTCGTGAGTGTTTTCATTAACTCTCGAAAGTTTAACGGCACTCAGATAAACGATGTCAAACAGCATCCGTTTTGTTTTTTACAAACTGTGTAGAGAAAAATTGCACCCTCCAGAAGCGCCGCCCTGTTAAAATAAAATAAAAAAAACCTCCCCTGAAGTTTTATGGCGAGCGGATGAACGGGATTAAACCGCAATCTACTTTTACGTATATATACCCTATATAGGGATCTATATATAGAATCGATTCGCGCCCTGCTGGGGCACCGTGCTTGTGAAATATATCCAGTGGTATTCTTAACTTAAGTTGCATGGCCATAGGATGAAAGGTGTAGTGCTGCATAGAGGACATAAACAAACCCACAAACAAACAAGCAAAACTTCATTATATATATACATAGAGAGAAATATAAATAATTCTACATATGCATATAT